TCCTGGAGCCTCGAGCCTTCCATTTCTTCTCAAGCGCCACTTCCAGGACGGCCCCCCTGTCCGGTTCTTCCCCGATGCAAGAAGTATGTTGCAATACGTTGCACATGTTTCTCAGAGTCCGTCGGGAATTGAAACGTCCAAGCTTTGGCGTTCGGCTGAGGTCTACCCCCCATAACAACTCCCTCCCGAAGCAGCGCCAAGCGTAGCGGTAAGCCACTGAAGGCATGGATCCATCAGGTTTCTCTAGCAGGTAAAGAAGATGGTGGGGATCAGCGGTAAGCCTAACATCTCAATTCCTCCTTCCACTCGTTCTGAAGTGCCCAAGTTCTGTGTCAGATCTTGCTACAATGTTGACAGACAAGCGCTGAGATCTTCGGATGAAATGGATTCCGACTCCAACCTTTTGCACGTGTAAAGTGCCACTTGGGGAACATGAAAGCAAGATCTGGTCACGCAAGGATCCTTTTCCAGTACAACGTCCTGGTTCAGGAAGTCAAAGTGTTGCTTCGTCCACCGCCCCTTCCATCTCCATGTCCTTGCAGCGTTTGTCTTTGTGGAGTCGAGGCTGCGACTTGTGCCATCAGAATGTGGACAGTTGAGGAGATTTGAATATTATTTGAACAGTTATTTGAATATAATTGACCCATTTTTAACTCCCCATAAGCCAGCTTCTTCATGCTTCTTCAGTTCGTGACCTTAATTTTTTGGAGAAACTCCAGTGACCTTTAGAAAGTGGTGACCTCGACGGGATCAAGCTCGGTCACAGGGAAGAACCACATAAAGAGGTTTTACAATCTAAATGGGTGTCTTACTAATCATCAGACTTAAGCCCTCGTCAGCTGATGGCTGACTGATAGGGTACCGGTACTAGCTACTGGGCGGCCCATAGCCTGGAAGTTGCGCAGCATAGGCCCTGATGCATCTTGATGTCTGGCTGTTGGTTCGACACGTCTGGCTGCATGCATCTTCAGAGGTGTCGAGTTCGGAAGAGATTTCGGCATTCGCATGCAGGGAACGACCGCCACAGCTGGAGCCTCGCATGGCCGCCCACTGTTGATCTTTCAAGAAGCGGTTGGAGCAAGAGTCAAGTACACGCCATGAGCGGGACCCTTGGGGGTGTCGAGTTGCTCAAAGAGAAACCAGCCAAGGAACACGCTTGAGACATCTTGAGAACTCGTTGGGACTGCGCTCTCAGATTCTTGAGTTGTAGCCCTACATCGCCATCGCTTGTGCTTCTTGGAGCGGGCCTCACTCAGCTGCACTTAAATCGTACCAGATGCATGGATGCTTGCTCACAAGCCGGAGAGAGAAACTGAATGGGCTTGTAACTTTGCTCAATTGGGAACCTGTTTGCGGTCGCTGCATTCATTTACTACATTTCGTAGCTTACTCAAGACCCTGCACGTGCCAAACCATGCCTGGCTCGTGTCCTGCACGCGCCGCTCGTCTCGGACGAGCTGGACGAGTCCGTCGCCCGTGACCGTCCGGCGCGGCATGAACCTCCGACGTGGCGAAGTCCTTGGTCGGGCGGCCGCGCGGGTTCGTTGAATGTGACTTACAGAGCTGGACTCCGGGACAGTCGCGACACTCGCAACACGAAGGTGTCGCAGCAGCTGTCTTCGCAACACACTGATACAAGCTTGCTCATTGGGCAAGAGCCACTGGGCGGGTTCTATCCACCAAATCGCGAGTGGGCAGCAAAGCTGTCAGCCGAGCTGCCAACATTTGCTGTTTTCAAAGTCCTTCACGTGGATCTGACGCCTTTACGAGGAGGTTCAAACATAAATCAGGCAGACACCTCAAGCTTGGGCAGAAAGGGTGCAGATTTGCACAGCCTCGAGTGGGAAACCGTATGCAGAGCAACCAAGTGATGCTTTTGGCATGTGATTCTGATTAGAAGTGGTGGCCGTTCTTTGTTGTTTTGATCACACACACCCCCAGATCATCTCTGAAAGGGTGTTGTGGCAGTCTCCGGTGGACTACCCACAATGCCCCACAGTGCTACAGAGCGTTTTGGATGCCTCGACACGCGTGCATCGAACACGAAGGAGCGGAGCTCCATTGCAAGGAAGAGCTTTGCATGCCAAAATGCTTTCTTGCGCTTCATCCGAAAACCAACAACTTACAACAACATCCACAACAAGTCTAGCCTGCGGAATGCTTTGTTTGCACCGGGCCGTTTGTTTCTTTCACCAAACCATGTGCGAATGGATCCACCAAGAGTGTCGGGTGTTCAGCGTTGGCTCTGGTCACCGAAAGCAACGAGTGCTTCCAGTTCAAGGCCCATGATTTGCCTTTCGTAGTTAGCACAAAATCATGCTCTTTTTCCCCAAACGAGACTGCTTTGACCCCCTTTACTCGCCTGCCTATGCGTGTTTCTGAATCCTCTGTGGCCCAAATCCAGCACGCTCGAAAGATGAAGCCCACCTTGGATGATACATTATATACTCCTCTGTGCTTGAAGTCGGAGCTGTTTGATGTTCGAGCGGCTTGGTACTAATTCGATTGAACAAGCTGCTCAAGAGTAAGCCGCCGCTGCTGGAACCGATGTTGGATGTGCCAGTGGCCTCGAGCCGGGCAGTGCAGCAGTGCAGCAGAGCTGGGCAGTCAGTTCTGACAGCGACGATTCCAAGCATCACCAGGCATGTTCGGGAGTAGCGGGCTTTGAGGAACTCTTCTGAGAAGGTGTCCGCAAGCAAAGAGATTTGGGGCATACCCAGTGCGTTTTGTCAGCAAGTAAGTAGCACATTCATACGACTTCAAGCCCTTGGAATCCTTCAGACATCTTGAAATTTAAATCTAAACCAGGCGTCCAAGATGTCCACTTCTCAAAGCCCGAAGGATTTTGTTCGCTCTTGCGGCACTCGCGGCACTTGGTAGGTCTGCAAGGACACCAGGTGTTTATGTTGGAACTCTGGATCATATCGAATCATATCTCTCCGTAAATCCATCCAAGGACTCAGGGAACCAGGGAGGACCAATGGATTTATGGAAGGAGGAGAGGGATTCAAGAGTCATACCCTAAAGCCATAATGAACCATGGAAGATCATCACTTGGGTGGTTTGAGTTGAATTGCAAAGCAGTGAAAGGAAGCAGCATCTTGTCATCAACAACAGTGGCTGGGAACGCAGAGCTTCTAAGTGGTAAGAGAGGGTGGTTGTTTTCAGCGACTGGATCCGCCCTGTCACGAAGGCAGCCATTGGCTCTTCAAAACCAGCATGCAGGTCCTTGTGATCTTCTGCAACAATCCTTCCTAGCTGAGAGCCTACACTTGTCATCCGCTTCGTGGAACACATGAAAGAACTGGTGGCTGTTATCTCTCTGGGAAAGCCTTTTGTTTTCTTGGTGCTTGCAAGATGTAGCGTGAAGGTTGCCCGCAGCAGAATGTTGAAGTCTTGATCACATTCCAGGGGTCTTTAAAGTTGTTTGGCCATTGCAACATTCCATTCAGAGGACCCCAGATGCAGGAAGAGATGTCAACATGCTCTGACCGGAGCCTTTGACAGGCATAGGACCCCAAGAGGCATAGATTCTCCAGATTCTAGAGGAGGAGCAGTCCTGCCGCATAATTTGTGATTGCCTGAAAGGAGACGATTGTTTTTGTCGGAGGCTTCAACTCTCACTTATGACATCATAGGCTGTGTGAACTTCCGATACGTGAGTCTTCGGTGCTTCCAGCTGAAGGTGGACATGCGGCTGTTCTTGCGCGTTTTCGCCAAGCAGCGTACAAGTCTACGGTGCACTTGCGATCCTTTCCTTCGCTTGCGCATCAAAGCATGCAAACAGCAGAAGCTCGTGCACCAGCCTTGGACAGATGATGTTGCCGTGCTTACAAGAGGTGAGGAGTCAGCTCTGTCATGTGTCCAAATTGCCGCAGTCATGAGAGACAGCTTCTGACTGGCTTGAAACTCACCCACCATGAGTGGCTCATTTTCCTCACCCCCGAAGGTGCAGTCACTTCGAAATCTTTGCAGTAAGTCCAGTACTTGTGCATCCAGTCTTCACAAGCGCAAAGAAGTGTTCAACACTTCATTTTTCTCACACCTTTCTACACTCTAGGCTCCGCACGTTTCCCACGTTGGGATCCTTCGGATGTCGTCTTGACCCATACCAACTCGCAGAGGCGTTGCTGGATCCCATGCTGGATCCCATGCACGATGCCCCCGTGTGCGGGAGTACTCCACGCCAGACCAGGCACCGCATTCCGCGCTCGGCCGAAGTCCGCGCCGTGCAACACGAGCCCTCATTTGTTCGGTGGGAGGTAAAGGCAGGCGCAACCAGGTGAAATTGCGAACAGAACGCAAAGTATCATTAAGGTGTTCTGGGGTGCTCACATTTTTCCCAGCTGCAGTAGCATAGCTGTTCTGATGGCCAGAAGAAGTAATTAGTCACCCAATGTCACCCAGTGGTTATGTTCAGCACGTGGAATCAGTGAGTCTTGAAGGCAGCCAGTGAGAATTCAATACCAGCATGCAGGTCTTTGCAATCTTTTGCAACAATCATTCCTAGCTGAGAGCCTACACTTGTCTTCCGCTTCGTGGAACACATGAAAGAACTGGTGGCTGTTATTTGTTTGGGAAAGCCTTTCGTTTACTTGGCGGTTGCAAGATGTAGCCCCAAGGTTGCCCACAGCAAAATGTTGAAGTATGTTGAAGTCTTGATCACCCCAAAGACCCTGATAGTATCACGGACTTTGATGGACTTCAAGACAGTTTAGACAGGTCTTTAAAGTTGTTTGGCCATTGCAACATTCCATCCAGAGGACCCCAGATGCAGGAAGAGATGTCAACATGCTCTGACCGGAGCCTTTGACAGGCATAGGACACCAAGAGGCATAGATTCTCCAGATTCTAGAGGAGGAGCAGTCCTGCCGCATAATTTGTGATTGCCTGAAAGGAGACAATTGTTTTTGTCGGAGGCTTCAACTCTCACTTATGACATCAAAGGCTGTGTGAACTTCCGATACGTGAGTCTTCGGTGCTTCCAGCTGAAGGTGGACATGCGGCTGTTCTTGCGCGTTTTCGCCAAGCAGCGTACAAGTCTACGGTGCACTTGCGATCCTTTCCTTCGCTTGCGCATCAAAGCATGCAAACAGCAGAAGCTCGTGCACCAGCCTTGGACAGATGATGTTGCCGTGGTTGCTGGGTATGAGGGCGCGGAATTCGCAAACTTTTGGATGGGCCACGTTCTCCTCAGCCACTTGTCACTAGTCGCTTGTAGCTCACTGCACTGGACCCTCGGTGGCTTCGGTGAAGTGGTGCTTCAGTTGGTCATGCTTCGCTGTGCTCGCTCCGTTCGTCTCAGCACATGACTGAAGAGTGGACAGGGACGGATATGGGGGTGATAGACGGACATGCCGCTGTGACATGCGGACCTCCTCGGTGTTGTACTCAGTGCATATAGTAGTCAAAGTAGTCAATCAATCCCTGGTTCTTTCTCAGCTACAGCTTAAACCGAAGGTTGTAGCCCATAATATTCCATAGCTTGCAATTAAGGCCTTTTCAGCCCAGAAGTGGGCCAACGACTCCTCCAAGCCATGCTCCGTGTCGTTCTTTGTAGCAAGACGGAGCTATTTGTAGCGAGACGGTGCTGCAGAAAACGCCCGCGAAACTGTGCAGCTCCTTACCTTGGATTCTTCCTTTGGCTACGAAGACACTAAAAACCAGCTTTGGCAGCCGAGTACGAGGTGCTATAGCTCACCAACTGAAGAGCCGCGGTTGTTTTGCGTGCCGTGGTTCATTGTGCACCTGCAGTGTTCGGGATGTACACCATGTGTTTTATCCAATCTCGCGGTGTCCAATGCCCTTTCACGTGTTTTCACTTAGAGACCACTTGAAACAATCAGACACAAGCATTCTTACTCCCACTTGTTTCAAGTTTCTTACTCCTTCATGAAGTCCTGGAGCATTCCACGCTCGCGACCTTGTGGTCCACGCATCTCTTGACTCAAAAATGCGTGGCCCATGGTGGCAATATGGTGGCACCATCCTTTGCATCCATTGGTTTCATGCGGACATAGCAGTGCCGACGATGCCGACATAGCAGGGACCGGTCTTCAGTCAGGGACCGGAAGATTGCTCACAATGACTGAAGACCGGTCGTCTCAGCCACAATGCAATGGATTATGTCTAGCGGTGTGAGACTAGACATACTGAGGGACTTTGACTTCGAATGACTGGAATGACTCTTCAGCTTCCATCACCGCCAAGCCTGCTGGTCAAGCCAGCTGGACACCATGTTTCTTGAATGTGACATGATACCCATTGCACAGGTTTCTGGATTTCCCCCTTGGATCTGCAATATTCTGCAATCCAAGAACGACATGGCAACCTATGAACGCTCCGCACAGTCCCGAAAAATCGAGGGAGGAGCAGGGATGGGTCTCTTCTTCGGCTCCAGGAAGTGCAGGCTGCTTTGGGGGAACCGCCCGATGCTTCACGCATTTGATGCCCCAGTGACATCGTCTTGCAACCACGGAAAATATGGGTCCCTCTCGTTGGTAGCCAACTTTGGGCTGGTGCTTCCTCAAAGCAGAACGTGTCTGACGAGCAGCCTATCTTCAGTCAGCCCATGGGTGACGAGGAGCGAACGAAGTGACGAGGGGCTCCTCGACCGTCATCCAGTGGCGACGCCCCAGGACCGCGTCGCGGCACACGGCCACAAACCACGGGACAGGTCGCTGAAGCCGATCGTCTGCGTCGGAAGGCCCGTGCGGTCGCTGAAAGGGCGGAGAACGGGGGCTCGAAGATGCGGAGAACTTGGTGCAGAACATCGCTTCTTGGCGCGAACTTAGCAGATGAAGCAAATGAGAAGAACATGGAAGAGGTGAGGAACATGAAGAAGATCCAAATGAGTTGCATCCAGCGACTCTCTGACGATGGAAGTTGTGATTTGCGACGACGATTTGTGCGACCGAGCCTTTTTTGGGCCGAGTTTTGGTTTTGGGGGCCCAACTGGTCGGCTGGCAGGCCGGATCAGTTCGTAGTTTGACACATGGGACTGCTCTTCATGTTGGCTTCGCTTACGTGCCTCCAGCGAACGTGCAGCGAAGGTGCCCGCAGCCTGCTGGTCTTCCCAGTCCAGATCCTTTGAGATCTACCTGAGATCCGGGCTGCTCTTGGAGATGCCACATGATCAGTCTTGGCTCACACACAGCACCCACACAAGGACTATGAGGGAGTTGAATATGTCAGAGACCCTCGCTGTTGTGCCAAAGAAATGGCAGGAGCACAAGACTGGACGGCCTGAAATGGAGGCAAGGTCAAAAGTGTACAGTAAACTGTGAGATCTTGAAAGGCCTGAAATGTGTTTGGCCCGTAGCTTGACACAAACAGAGCGTCAAGGATGCGGCACTTTTTTGCAGTGCTGCCAGCTCAACTAGCCGCCTGTGGCGCCGGTGGCGCTTGTGGCCGCTGTTTCGCCCCTGTGCTTTGGAAGCAGCCCTTGACCGTCTTTCCCGCGCGCCGGGAGCGACGAGCTCTTGCGGTCCGTGAGCGACGAGCTCCTCGCCCTTCGGAGGCCGACCTGGACTCCTCGTTGTGCCACGGGGCGACGGCGTGGGCGACGGGTGACGCACTGGGCGACTGGGGAAGGGTCCGACTGCGTGGGTCAGAGCGGTCGGCTCGGGCTCGGTTCCAAAAAGATCTCAAAGAATCAAGACATGTCAAGACATGTCAAGACACTCACAGCATTGGATTTGTTGCTTTGATCCATTTGCAGAGAACTTCACATGAGCTTTTGCTAGACTGGGCACGAATGATGTCGAAAGATCAGACAAGTGCCTGGATAGGATGGGTTGTGCAGTGGAAAGCGGCACTTTGGGTTAGAGCTCAAATCAATACCATGCCTCATCACAGCCCTTCTGTGATGTTCAGCCCGCTTGCCTGGGCCTCTCTTGATTCAAGCAGGGATCCACCCAATGGATGCCAGGGAGGGCACCGCCTCGTTTTTGCTCCTCGTCCTGGGCGCCTTGGGCACCGCCTCGGGGCGCGCGCTTCGACCGTTCATCACGGGGTCTTGGCCGAAACTGACATGGGAGTCTTCTGGCCACGAAGCACGGCAGGTGGAGTGCAGATGGCCATGAAGATGTCCATGTTTGGCAGAGCTTTCGGAGTGCATTGCGGAAGATGCACTCTCCCAGTGTGCGGATGCGTGGCCAGAACGAGAAGGGAGTCATGACACCTGTGCTCCACCGAGGCCTGTGCTGTCCATCCCTACAGCTGTCCTCATCAGCTGTGAGCTGTGGGACACCTGTCCTGTGACCTGTGTGAGTCCCGTGGCACTGGGAATCCCATTGGAAGACGGGCCCGTTTGCGGCCATCGGCCTCCACATCACTTGGGGCCACGCTGGAATAGCATGGACAAAGCACACGGGCCTCACATCCCTCGGGAGATCGAAGCATTTCATAGCAGCATTTCCTGCCACGTCAGACGTTGCACCACTTGACCTGACAATCAGGCAGTGACAATCGGGCCGATGTGTTCGACTGAAGCAGTGCTGAGCAGCTGAAAGGGCTGTCCCAAACTTTGGAATTGTGCAACACTGTTGCAAAAGAAGTAATGAAGACCAACCGTTAGAGGGTGCACGGATTTTGAGACACCGCGTCAGGCCCCGCCCTCGCTTTCTGCAGGTTCTTTAAAGGACCGAGCGCAGAAGAAGGCACAAGATCACCAGCCGACGCGTCCGTATGTTAAGGCCATCAAGGCAGATCTCGTAGCTGGATGGCTGCTCAGTTCAATCGCGAGTCACGGAGTGCTTCGCGGCTTCGCACCACCGGACACCGCACCGGTCTGTGGTGCGTGCGGGCTGGAGGAGCGATGGGAGTTTTTGGGGGTGTTTGCTTTAAGGTCGTACGGACAGTATGCCCAGACTTGGTATTGAGATTGAACCTGCTATTGGAACTTAAAGAGGCCAGGAATGGCCCAAGCTGGCTCCATGTCTTTTTGGAAGCAAGCCACTCTTCCTCATCCTTCCGAAGCAGCATGGATCTGACCATTGTCCCAAGCTTCTGGCTGCCGAGCGCAGAGAAAGCAACTTCAAATCTTTTGCTTTTGGTGGCCTCCGCGTCTTCACTGGGACCACACAGGGAGCACTGCGGAGCGGATGAGTTGGGACAGCACCGGGCAGCGGTGGCTTGCTGCGAGGGTTGGAAGCCGATGATGCTGGTTTTGGACGAACATGACCGGCCAGTCTTGCAGTGAGCCTCGTTCATGAAAGGGAGAGACCAGTCCTGGGTGTACCACGCAGACACGGATGAAGCAACCCAATGGATGTTGGACGATGTTTGGAAGCATTGTGTTATTTTGAAATAATGACATTGTGTTTAGCAAGCTTCAGAGTTTGGATCTGTTCACGGCCATCCTATGTTTTACGTGCTGGAGATTGTCGGGTTATCCTTGGACACGTCCTCTTCTGTCATATTGTGGGAACACTTAGACTAGTCACTAGTCTCAAACCAATCCATGTTTGCTCCACTTGGCTTGTTCCATTGGTTAACCACTGATTAGCATAATGCTGTAAGTGGCGTTGTGCACATCTTGAGGTTTGTTTGCACAGTGTATGGATGACCACGTGAGCGGGAGGATCAGCCACATTAAAGAGCGTCGTTTGTCTTGTGGGTGCACAACTAACAAAGTGGTTTCAGTGCCTGTCATATCGAGGCACCTCCTAAATTGTCCCTTAAGCATCCTTTAGCTTGTCACACACACGATGGATTCCATCAGTCAGGATATGTACTGGGTGCTCGGGTTAACTTGTCTCGAGTGGCAAGAACTTGTGCTAGATGAGGTGTGCCCTTGGAGGAAAGCTTGATTGGGCTACCTTTCTGTATGTATGTTGTTGTTTATTATAGGTTGAGAATTCGAGCAAACCGCAAGGGCACAGTATTGATTCTGTCTCGAGTTATTGTACTCCCAAGTGCTAAAGTCGTTGCGGTTTCATGTTTTTGGCTTCACTACACTGTGATTAGGGATTTTCAACAGTTGTGCCATGGGGGTGGGTCAAGTTCCTTTGTGATGGGGTAAGTTACCACGTCGGGTCGTAGGATAAAAGTTTCAATACATGCAATCACCTGATACAATGGAGTGAATCCGGTATTCCTGGGCACTTGCCCCACATTCACATGCTTCAATGGCCGATGTCCATGTAGTACGCTCAGGACATGGCCAAGCTGCAAGGAAGACGTGGGGAAGCTTTGGCCGTGCAATCAGCAGCCAGCTGTGCCATTGGCGGGGTGATATCAGGCTTTCCCTTTTTCTCAGTGGAGAGACACATCAATGTGACACTTGGATGGATTTGGCACAATACATTGCACATTGAATACAAGAAGTATGCATGTCTGTTCAGTGCTTCTTTATGCTTCACTCTTCCCTCCTTTTGTCCCCCTACTCATACCACCCCGTCCGCTTTGTCAACTGCAGGACGACTCAGCATCCCCTTTTGCTCGCCCGGCGACGCTGGCACCGACCACGACGCCACGTCGACCGCCAGCGCAGCAGGTGGTTGTTGTTGCAGGTGCACGGAGACTGGGGACCGTGTAGGAAAACGAACAGATTTGAGAAGGGCAAAGAATGGTGGAGTTTTCTTTGGATGTATTGTGGTGGGGCATGAGAATTGATTAGGTGAATTTGGGAAAGGTTCAAGACAAATTGTTTTGATTGTCAAGCTGGGGTAGGCCGATCACAATAATGTGTGGTTGGATGGCCAAGCATGGGAGTATCTTGGTGCTCATAAGTTATGAGTTGTGATGAACGTGAGAAGTTCCAGCATCAATTGACTGGCCTACTGGCGTTGGTTGCAGTATTTTTGACATAAACACATGCCCTCAGTTGTTCTACATTTGCCCTGACGAGTGCTTGCTACAGATTCTTCTTTGAGGTGGGAGACTGGATGTCATCATGACATCCACATCGGAACAAACGACGTGGAACAAACGCTCAAGGTGGTCCCGGAATCGCCATGTGGATCACTGTGCCAGACCTGGGACCTCGCCGTGTGGATCGGTGCCGCCGGCCTTTCTTTCTCTCCTCACTGGAGCGCCGCCGCCGCTCCACCGCCTCAAGGTGTGAACGGGCCAGGCCGGACAGCGAAAGGAGGGTACACCGGTACACGCATGCTCATGGGCACGTCAAAACGTACGGATCCGACGAAATCCGTACTGCTTCATTCAAAACTGGGGGGTATCCGTGGTCATTTTGGCAAGGGGTACAGTAGAGTAGGGTTCTTCTATGTTCTTCTTGTTTGAAGCCCCGACAGCGCAAGGAGTTGCGGAAGTCACTGCAAGGATCGGATATCACACGTCCCTTTTAGCACCTGCGATCTTTTTCCATCAGTTTTTGGGGTCTGAGCAAGAGGGATCCATTTGACTCATGTCTCCGATCAACCTAGGGAGTCATTCCCACCATGGGCGAGAACTTCGTCGCATCCTTTCCGTGTTTTCGGCTGATCGAAGGCTTCGGGGTTCGGTTTTTGGGATTTGGAGCCCGACGGACCGAGAAACCCGGTCGGACCGCAGGATGACGTGGGAGTGCTCCACTCGATCGGTGACCGAGGCGAGAGGGATGCGTGCGGGGACGAGAGAAAACCGGTGACGAGAAGATTCGTTTTGGTCCGAGAAGAGCCGAAAACATCAAGAACCCCCATCCCAACCGTCCCAACCCGAACAAATGGACCAAATGGATGGAACCCAGATGAACCCAGCCACTTACATATGTAAAGGATCTCTAAGTATAAGCCATATTGGACCATCCAGAACCGTTTCCGGATTGGAATGGGTTTCCAGGCAAGCATTATCAGGAAAATCAGTTCCGCAGCTCCGCCATGCTTCTCTCACGGAAAACGGGAGGGTGGCAGACTGATTCTCATTCGACGAAGACAGAGGTCGATGGGTCGAGAACAAACACGAACAAACCACCAAGCGATCGTTGTAGACAAAGTTGAGGGCCACGCAGGGTGTTCCAAGTTTGTCGAAAGTTATCCTTTATGACTTTCGCGATCCTGCCCACCACCCTACCCCAGTGCCAGGATTCATCGCTGTCGCTTGACCGACTGAGTGGCCAGTGGCCCGGCGGACTGGTGACCAAACCGGCGGCTGTTTTGGATGCTTTTTGTGCAGGGCGAATAGAGCATACTGGAGTAGTGCCTTTAAGCACGACCCAGTCGTACACCAGGAGTCCCAATCACCCTTTCAATCTCTCAATACCATGGCTTATGAATTACTTTCTGGATCTTTTTGGGATGAACACCCGAATCAGACGGTCGCTGGTTGATCACCCGAATCAGCAGGCGAAAGCGAACGGTTTTCGTGGCTCAACAGCGAAACCGAACGGTTTTTGCATAACGGACAAACGTGCTTGAACCTCGTGATACCCCTGCAGGGCACACGGTTGTCTGCATGTTTCAGGTACACACGCAGATGGGAAACTCCATATTGAAGGATTTATAGAAAGACATAGAAAGACCTTAGATGCCAGAGGCAAACAACGCCCATTACTTGGAGAGATACCCACCAGGTCCAGACGCGGTAAGGATTGATTGACTCTTTCTTGATTCTACGGTGTATAGTGGTGCATTGTTTTGAGACACACCCAGAAGGTTGTGATCGGTCATGGCTTCTCACAGGATCGGGCCTGTTCAAGCGGCTTCACCAAGGAGCTTCAGCAAGCGTGAGGTCTTTGCTTTGATTGCAACCGGAACTGGCTCACGAGCAGGATCAGGCTTCAGTCAAGGGGCAGACCGGCGAAGAAGCTGGCTGGATCTGCGACTTCTTCGCATCCATCTAAGTTTTCAGTTTTGGACATACCAGCTTCTTGACATCGTACCTTACCTTTCCAGGAAGATCTCGGGGTCCCAAAGTATCAATTCAGGAGGCAATACCTCAAGTGTCAATGTGGGTACAGATGCGCAGGAAGACGATGGAAGCTTCTCAACGCACCAAGTCCCTTCTCATTGGCCACCAAAGTTGAGTCCAAGTGTCTCCCTTGACCAAAGACCACCTCCATCGCAAACAGACTGTTTGTCCATCGATGAATATCTCCATCGATTCGATGGATCCCGTCCCAAGGTGATCGATCCTCTCCATTGCACAGAGTCCTGCGATGCACCCTATCTTGCACAGGAGCCATGGGTATGGCCGGAAGTTTTCGGGAAGCTTCCGGGGCCCACAGATTTCATGGGTGCG